CTGCTGGGACCTCTATAGAAGAGATAGATCAAGAAATTCAAGGTATAGCACCGGGCCCAGTCTGTACAGGTCGCTAGTCTTTTAAACCATTAAACTTAATTGAGTGTACTTCGGTACAACGATAGTTTTAGACCCGTAAAAGAATACCTAAGAATTTTCAACTGCTGTATCTATTTGATTGGACTTCGGTACAACAATAGTTGGCAACCCGAGAAAGGACATAGAATAGTTTCTATTAGTGAAACCTCACGGGAACGGATACTATACCGGTAAAACCCCTGTGGGATTATCTATTTTTTGAAATCACAAAAACAAATTTCACAAACAATATATATAACTTGAATACTGAATCGATTCTGATAAGTTACACAGCATTGATATTAACCTTGGAAAAGACAAATAAAGAATCTAAATTCTGCCAGAGCCATAATTATACGTGGACGTAGTCGCAGGGAACATCTAGTTTCATATAAAATTACTTGCTTTCTAAACATTTTTATTAAAACACAATAAATTTAAATGATTAAACAAACTCTAGCCGTCTTTTGTTATGCAAATGATTTCACACGATCAAGATAAATAGCCACATAGTAAAGAAACCCGTTACTCATGGTATCAATGTCCTTAAATATTGAATTTACTTGCTACTTGATAGAAATCATAAATTAACAGAAAGACAGTGTCACTACACTAAAATCAATCAAATCTACCTATTATTAAATCACTGGTATTCAATTTGACTGCCTCCTGAGGCGAGTGGGTTCGATTCCCGGGTCGAGCTAGAAAATTCTCAATAGCAGCACGGAGTCTGGAATTGTGCCCGGTATATGGCAATAGGCTCACCCCCTATTACATGTGACTCATAACATAAATAGTGAAAAGTGGGTGTTACATTGTACAGTGGTATAATGTACACCTCTGCCTACCCTTTCGGGGATAAAAGGCGTGATGTTATGTAGAAAGAAAAAACATTTCATATTACCTGTATTATACACATACAATTCATTGTTGATTTCATTTACATATCTATCTTAATGTAGGTATCAACTATATTGTCATTTCCTTAAGAACCAGTCCCCAAATAAATTAAACAACTATAACAAACAATTGCACATTTTAAAACTTTTATTTGTTACCATTAAACATTTTATGGAGCTGCACTTAATTAGGTTATTGCCTAATTAAATACAACTTCGTAAAAGTTAACGATTATAATTTACATTTTAACTTAATGTCGTCTTTAACCTAAATTTTGACATTATTCTTACATAGTATCAGGAACGTGGATAAAGACGGACATATTCTCTTGGAACAACGACTGTGGCAACTGGCTAATATAGTCTTACATGCAGAATACACACACATTGACACGAAGGACATCTGTTGCGGGACATGCCACGTCGTTACACTTCATACATTACGGTGTTGCAAGTACACGCACACATAGATTTGTGCCCCATAATACCGACTTCTACTCCTACTCCTTCTCCGTTCATGCAGTGAGACTATGGAACTCGCTCCCGCCGAACATTCGGGACGCCAAGTCTATCTCTATCTTTAAGAGACAAGTGAGAGAACATTATCTTTCCTCTTGAAATATAGATTTGTTTTTCTGTATTTATTTATATATGTATTATAATTGTATTATATTAATTTGTTTTATTGTTTATTATTGTTAATTCTATTGGTTTCTTCGGTCTTATTACTTTTTTTTTTATTAATTGATTTTTATCTTGTTTGTGTAACACACTATGTGTCTCAGTGTTGTTATTTCTTTTCCTGCCACAGGCCCACAGGAAGAAATTCCAGTTGGAATATGTGGGGCCTATGTACTCTGTTTTTTTATTATGTATTGTCCTCTGTGTTGAATGTGTGTACATAAATTAATAAATAAATAAAATAGATACACCACTGACATATTGGTACTTCAACCATTTCTAAGTGACATTATGACGTTATTTTCTTTTAGCCTTTTTTCAACGTTTTTTAAAAATAAGTCTTAATATTATGTACAAAAGGCACATCGACCTTTACATAACCAGTATAAACTGAACGTTAAATGTACGGAAAGATGATGCGACGCGACACCAGGATAAACTGGATTTGTATTGATTGATGTGTGGCCGTGTGTACCTACGTCCTCCTTTGTAAACGTGAAGAACGTTCTTCTTGTGATGCCAGTTTTTTACGGAAGGTTGGTCGTCAGCTTAATAATTAGTCCGCATCATTGGCCAGGCGTCCATTAAACTGTCAAACACCAAGCGGTGACCGCAACCTATTGTTCTTTAATTGTGTCTATAAATACGGTACTCGACGAGTTAATGCTATGAACAGAAAATAAATAAATCTTAAGTTTAACAAGCATATAAATTGCCTACCTATCATCATCATGCTACATTTTAACTGAAACCAATTTTAGACAATGCCTTCTAAGTCATTCAATACGTAGATTCACTAGAAAACTACGCAGAAACAACATCAAACCGACTTATAATATAAGATCTTCACTATAATACCAAAGACCTTGACTACAAAACAAAGTTTCCAAGTATATCAATGCACAAAACAAGTCATTGTTTTAAAGCAAATACTGCCATTCAGTTTACAGACGGACAGACATACTGACAGTAATTATTAGTAAACTTGAACCGGTCATACGATGAAACTGAAGTGAAATCTCATTGATTGATGAACCTCTTTCATTGTGATATTTATGATAATCAACCTGGTTCCAATTGCATGTTTTGAATACCTGACAGTGATATTTAGGGAACCTAGATAGTAAACCTAAATCGAATCGAGGCTATGAATGATAGAGCTGTAAATGTTGTTTTTAAATTGTTGAATCTAAGAGGTGTTGTGGAGATATCATTATAGAGGGCTTTCGACTTCGTAAGCTCAGAGTGAAAGGGCAGCGAAAGGGTAAATGTGTCCGACTTATGTAATAGACTGACCCACTGTTACATTGTGATGGGAACATCAACCAATGATTTCTCCGGTGAGGCAGGAGGGAGTGTCAGACTCTTACCTACTGACTAAAAACCAACCCGTTCCTACTCCTGCCCATCGAGCCGGAGCCCCGTCAACGCTTTAAGTCCTCCGCGGCTCCGTATCGGCATCAGTCCTATCGGGCATCATCGCGCCGCGCCATCCCTACGCTCGGATATTGTGATGTCCTAGTCTCCATATTTCGCGGCTACGCCTTAAATTGAGATAGCTTTTATTATAATCTGTGGAACTGGTATTCAATCAGGGGACTAACGGTCCGACAGTTCCCTTCGACTTTCCCAGGTGAGAAGACCCAATGAGAATTAACCGCATTGGGGAAAAAACGGCTATTCTTTAACGACTTTCAATAAAAACTAGACTAAAATTCCTTCGCCTATATCTCCAAACTAAACTATAATAAAACTATGATAGGTTAATTTAAACCAAGATAAACGACAGCCAAAATAAACAACGATACGTAGCCAATAAATAAAGAAAGGCATGCATCTGTCTACCAATAAATTTGTACTATCTTAATAATGATCTGATCTCCTCAGCGATCGATTACACGGCTCAGTAAATTAAATTAATTGATTTTTCAATCGAATGCAGGTCAGGTACGCACGTCAAAATGTATTTGCGTAATTAAATTGTCAATGTACTTCAAAATTGATGGTGCATAGCCGGGATATGAAAAAAATGGGTATTATGAATTTTAATTATAATAATAATAGTTGGATTGAGAAAGTGTTACATTTCTTTGTGTGTATAAGAACTAAATAAGAAGATAGTGAATGTACTTACTTTAATAAAGATATTATCCGTTTGTATTATTGGTCCGATTCATTAATCTTTAGAGGTAGGCAATTGTTCAAATCTTATGACATTTGCATCGTTGCATCTCTTTGAACACGCTGAATGAGATTAATTGAATAGTGAAAGAGCAATCGACCATCAATTAAAATATATGCTATATCAATACTCGGCATTTCATGCTGTGTCAGTACACAGCATGAATTCAGTAATGATGGAATAGTGAATAGAATATAATTTGTAATAATAAAAGGCTCTGGAATGGCTGGACCGATTTTGCAAGACTTATATTGGTAGGTAGCTGATGTACTAGGAAGTAACTAAGGCTACTTTTATTTTGGAAAATTAAAACAAAAAATAAGTTATGTTCAAACTAGCTTTTACCCGCGGCTTCGCTCGCGTCACAAAAGGATAAAAAGTACCCTATGTGACATGTACCAATACACACAGCGCCATCTATACCAATACTTTTGTTTTCCCTCGGGAAAATCAATTTTTTCCAGGATAAAAAGTACCCTATTATTTAATCCGGACTTCTAACTTTACGTCTGCAAAAATTCAAAGCAATCGGTTTAGTAGTTATGGCGTGAAAGCGGAACAAACATACAAACCAACAAACTCACTTTCCGATTCATAATATTAGTAAGGAAGTAAGGACTAGTAAGGATTCTACGCGGAGGAAGTCGCGGGCAACAGCTAGTCTTACTATCCTACTAATATTATATTGTGTGTTAGTATCAAAACATCTGAAGGAATCGGGATGTAATTCGTACCTAACAGGGATACATTATGGTCTGATTTGGGATGATGACAGGGTATGAAAATTAAAAATATAATTAGTCCGTAAGTTAGGTAATGAAAAAATATTAGACACGTATCTTTTTTATTTTATCGCATATTAAAACAATACCTAGACAAAACGAATCAAAGTTTAGGAGTGGGGGCTAAAACGTCATTTCTACGTATAAAATGTACGTAGAAGTGACGTCACGCAACATTTCAAATCAATATATCGTCGAAAGTATTCGTTTCTGTAAGAAAATAAAAAATGCGTGTCTAATGAGGCATCTTACCTCATCATCTTCTTAAGCATCTACCCTATTAACACATAGGCTACTTTTTATCCAGCTGGACCGCGGGCGAAACTGTGGGTAGAAGCTGATCAATGATATGATTTACCAACTTCACCTTGGTTCCAGGACAAGTAGCGTCACTCTGCAAGCCATTCGAGAAGCTCCAAGTATGCGGCTGCCCTCGTACGTGCCGGGATCCAGCACCAGATTGCAAGGCCGTCTGCCGGCCTGGCTGCTTCTGTGAAGAGGGACAGGTTCGAGATGATGAAGGAAACTGCATCAAACTGGCTGACTGTCCTCCTATTTGTAAGTAGACATGTAACTAAGACCTTGATGTTTAACATTGACTTAGTCATACTCATACCTAAATAGGAATTATCTCGATCGTGCAACTGCCGAATAGAAAGGATGAAAATGAAGTATCATAACATAACATAACATCACGCATTTTATCCCCGAAGGGGTACGCATAGGTGCACATTACGACACTTAATGCCACTGTACAATGTAACACCCACTTCTCACTATTTATGTTATGAGTCCCTATTCACCTATTGCCATGACCGGGCACAATAATTCCAGACCCCGTGCTACTGAGATGTGTTAAAAAAATCCAGTAATACTTTGCTCAACCCGGAAATCGAACTCGAGACCCCTTGCCCAGTAGTCGCAATTGCGACCACACGGCCAACGAGGCAGTGCATTAATGGAGAACTATTAAGTTATAAAATACCTAGGACCTATCTAAAGACGTTTGCAGATCCGTGTACACAATGAAATTACAAACTTAGAGAATATTAATAGAAATTATCGTTAACATTTGTAACTGATTAAAGGATGAATGAATGAATTAAAAGATTGATTTCATTAATTAATGGTTGCATCCATAAAAGCTTCGATAACTCTATTTAATATTCATGTTTTTCGCTCATACAGCATACTATTACCATGCACTTCCATTAACATGATTGGAATAAAGCATTTATCATTAATTGTGTCCATGTATACTATGTAGTATACATATATCATACACATACTATCTTTTCACCTGCGGCTTGTCATGTAAGTACTATGTTTACACTTTGTGAGACAATTCTATTAACTTTCAATTGGGCATCTCAATAAGAACATTCGATTCTATTCGATTAACTTTCATTATCAATAACCTGTGAGAGCACAAAAGAGGGGTTTCATCATTATCATCAACAGCCTATAAATGCCCACTGTTAAGCAAAGCCTCTTCTCACATGGAGAAGGTTTGAGCATGACCACTCTTGCTCAATGCGGGTTAGTGACTTCAAACTTATAATTAGAAATTACAAGCCCAGGTGTGCCTCAGTAGTGTCTAAATAATCTTAGAAAGTACATGTCACTCGGAAAAGTCATATTGGTACTTGTCGTTGGTAGGTTTCGAACCCTCATGCATGAGAAGCGGGCATCTTAAACTACGACATCAAAGAATAACGCCACCTTAATTATTATCCTCGCCTGGCAAGCAGGTTGGAGATATCGTAGTTTAAAAGGAACAAGTTTATCAGAAAACGAAACTACCAGCCTCTTTAAACTGTCAAACACCAAGCGGTCACCGGTGACCGCAACCTATTGTTCTTTAATTGTGTCTATAAATACGGTACTCGACGAGTTAATACGATGAAGGGACTCTTAGGTTCCCCACTCCTGGTTCTACACCCCTTCATCGACGCTTAGGTACAATACCCGCGGGAAGTGAGGAAAGCGAGTGTGTCTACTGTCACATAAGCTTGCAATACTGAAGCACAAACTCAGAGAACAACACCAAGCTACACTGATCAAAAATCGGAGTCGCGGAGAACCTAACGGGTTACCGGGGCTCCGGATCGAAGTGCAGGAGAAGGAACGGGGTGGTTTTTAGTCAGTAAGAGTCTGACACTCCCTCCCGCCTCACCCAGGCGGGAGCAGTCATTCGATGATTTTCAACCCTTAAAAAAAGGTACGATACCCGCGGGAAGTATGGTAAATGTGAGTAACCTGCAATACTGAAGCACAAACTCAGAGAACAATACCAGGTTACACTAATCATAGGTTTTTGACGTACTGTACGACAATAGACTTAACAAATTTATACCACTTTTACAGTAGCAGCCTATAAACAAGATACGACGGAGCCCCGTCCCAACGGGGGCCGGTGTCCAGACAATGAGGAGTACAGGTTCTGTGAGCCCTGCCACAAGACCTGTGAGAACCCCAACCCCATCTGTCCTGCCCAGTGCGCAAGGGGGTGCTTCTGCAAAGATGGGCTGCTTCGGGACAAAGATGGCGCCTGTGTTCCTAAGGACAAATGTTCTAATAGTAAGTATATTAGTTTTTTTTTATGGCATAAGCCGATAAACGAGCGGACGGATCACCAGATGGTAAGCAATCGGCGTCGCCCATGGACACCTGGAACACCAAAGGCGTTACAAGTGCGCTACCGACCTTTTGGGGATTAGGAGTTTGAGGATCGATAAGAACATGAAACAAGTAAAATAAAGGATGGTCTCTGTACTCTTGCAATTATATTGTGTAGAGTATACTTTCTCCAACCACTGCTGGATATACGCTTCCCCAATAGCACACTAAATGACGCGAATGAACTCATAACATAATACCACGCCTTTTATCCCCGAAGGAATAGGCAGAGGTGCACACAGAAGTAACACCCACTTCTTCACTATTTATGTTATGAGTCCCATGTAATAGAGGGTCAGCCTATTGCCATATACCGGGCACAACTCCAAACTCCGTGCTACTACTGAGAATTTATAAAAAAAACCTCGTAATACTTTGCCCGACCCGGTAATCGAACCCGAGACCCCTTGCCCGGCAGTCGCACTTGCGACCGCTCGGCCAACGAAGCAGTCAATATAAAATTCACTGACCAATTTTATAACAATTTCTGATTCAACCTTAGCTGTACCAGACAATTCTAGATGAGGTCAACCTAATTTTATTATATTCATACCTAGAAAGAACCGAATTTGAAACTGCCGCAGTTAAAACTGTTTTTATATTAGTAAGGTCGTGAGAAATATAGTATAATTTATACTGCAGTTCTGTTTATCTTAAAGGCAAAGCTTATGATTTTGCAAATAAATATACCTAGATAGTGTTTCTCCTGTTATCTCCGAATGATCTTGGCTTACTTCCTTGTCAGACGAGGTCAGGGTACCATACATTGTGTTGGTCTAATTTAGTCAAACGAACATGTCCAAGACAAGCTATTGTTTAAATATTAAAACGGAGTAATGACATACTTTGATTATTATCTTAATGAATGCATTAGAAATATTATTAGTAAGTAATGACTTACTTTGGTAAATAACAACTGTGCAAGATGCATGAATATCGCTTTGTTTTCTTGTTTTTTATCTATTGTTCTGAAGGAGATGCCCAATTATAATTAATTATAACTTTTGCTTTAATATAATAATAGGAATGATGACAGGGTATGCAAATCAAAAATCTAATTCATCCGTCAGTTAGGTAATGAAAAAATATTAGACACGTATTTTTTATTTTGTCGTATACTTAATAAAACATTTCTTAGATAAAACGGATCATAAGTTAAGAAGCGGGAGTAAAAACGTCATTTCTACGTAGATAACGTCTCTAGAAATGACGTCACGAGATTTCAAATCAATATATCGTCGAAAGTATTTATATCTGTAAGGAAATAAAAAATACGTGTCTAATGTTTTAAGAATCTACCAGACGGACATTAGTCATCTACCCTATTTGCTTTGTAAAGCTCAAGGTAGATAAATTACTGGACGCTACGTTCAATGTCCATGCCATTAAAAAGGATTTTGGCCAAATTGGACATCGAAGACAGCAATTACTGGTCAATGGGCACTTGGTACTTGAAACCTTTGTATATACAACTCGATAGTCAATTTTTTTTATCGTGCCAATGTAAAATGTCAAATTCAAAGTCAAAGCATTTATTTCAATTAAACCATATTTTGGTACTTTTGAATCGTTCAACAAATACAAAATAAATAATAGTCTGTCAGTCAGTCCGTCAGTGAAGCTAGGTGAAGTTAGGTGCTCATTCCAAAATGTAGATTTGAATGGATAAGAACGAGCAAGTAACTCCATTCGTTACTCTTTTAAAAAATCTCCTTTAAAAATGCGTAGAGCACTTAATTTATTCAAACTGTGTGTCTTTAACAGGATTTTTAAAATCGAAATAACCCCATAGGAACTTCAGACCAATTCCTACTTACAGTAAAATTGGACATCCCTTCTATCCAATTTTAAGAACAGTATATTATATAGTTAGTAACTTAAGAATTTCATTTTATTTACAGACATCGAATACTAGCTAATGACCTAATGACCTGCCGATCTCTTGCCGAAGTTCTTCTTTCTTCTCTCTGCATGCTGTGGCTACTCTTCTTCTGTTAGTCTCCTACAAAGAAGATCTTACATTAATCTTTTTAATTACTTACTTATTTATGTATTCTATTCCACTCTACTTATTGCTGTTATTAATTATTTATCAATTATAAATTTAAATTGTGTACCAAAGACTTAAGCTATCGAAAATTGCTTATCAAAAAATATTCTACTTATTTTTCGTTATATTTATTTTTTGCGATGTCTATGCATTTACTGTATTCGACATCAATAATTTCACCAAGAAGGAAACGACTTCCTGTCACCAAAATCCCTCTCTAACCAGAACACTTTGTTCAGAAATTCCAGACCCAAAGCCCATTCAATACCAGATGACCTGCAGTGAGCACCAGGTCTACAAGCGCTGTGAGACCTGTGCCAAAACCTGCAGTAACCCAAACCCTAAATGTCCGACCCCTTGTGCCATGGGGTGCTTCTGTGAAGAAGGATACGTCCAGTCTCCCAATGGCCAATGCGTCAAGTTAGAAGACTGCCCAAAAGGTAACTGGGACGAACTTAATGGGGTGTTCTCTAATTTCTGGCTATAACTGTCTTGTGTAATGTTAATTCTTTTTAAAAATAGACTCTTTTGTAGAATTCTCTGTAGATATCTAATTCTTCTGTAGAAAAGTGCGTTATGTTTTTTTCACATGCTGAATGGCAGCTCAAATTAGCGTGTTATCCTTAAAACCATGTATTAGTATACACGCTTAATTTAATTATTATTTTTTGGCTTATTCACATAACTGCTCAACGAGGAACTCCACTAGTTTTAAGCCATATTAGAAGCTCATATTCATGAGCAGCATTCCGCAACACGTGACGAGGCGACTGTCGCACTGGCTACTATACTGGCTGCTAATATACTCGATTCTGCTGCGGTGCGGCCCCAAAACGCCCTCTGCCGTGATTCACTACTAATTTGTATGTGAATTAAATAATAGTATTTCTTCCTTTCTTCCTTCTTCACAAACTTTAATCAAACTAGTTTTAGGAACTATCTTGTTTCTTACGCACATTTTTTTGGAAATATTTTCTATCTGTATACATTTCTTCTTTCTACACTTTGAGGTCGTCTTCAACTTTCGTCTATATTTATTTATTTATTTATTTATTAAAACTTTATTGCACATACAGTCAAATTGGCGGACTTAATGCCGTAGGCATTTTCTGACAGTCGACCATTGGGTGGTGCAGAATGTTAAAGCGGTAGGTGCAAAATTGTAAAAAGAAAGTATGAAGTAGATAACGAAGTTAAGGTAATAAAATATTAAAGAGGGAAGACATGATTGTTATAGTCGATAATACATAACTAAGGGTATTAAAATTAATTATATAATACATATATATCCCAAATATGCATACATATAATATGATATATTTACTATATAATACATACATATATAAATAAATGCAATACATAGACTACATATTACCACTGTTTTGAGTTTGCCACTTTCTATAAATGTGTTCCCGAACCTTGAATTTAAATGAACAGCGATTATTTGCCATTCTGATTTCCTTGGGCAGCGCGTTCCACAGAGAGACAGATTGAACGAAAAAGGAGGAGTGAAGATATCAGTGCGGTGAGTGGGACATTGAAGTTGACGGTTATTAGATGAGCGAAGGTATTTAGAATGGTTTGCGCATGTATATTGGAAGTAGGAAGCTAGATAAACAGGTGAAGAAGGAGAGTCGAGAAAAGAAAATAAAGTAGTTAACGCCCTTTGTTGCCTGCGCAGGCGTATGGGCAGCCATTTTAATTGCAACCGATGTGCAGAAACATGATCATATTTACGTAAATTGAAAACGAATCGAATGCAGTTATTTAGAAGACGGTCAATTTTGTTGAGTAGATCTGCATTCAGGTCGTAGTAACACACATCAGCATAATCGATGATAGGAAAAATCAGGGCCTGCACGAGCCGTGCCTTGGTAGTAGACGGAAGGAAGTTTCTAAGGCGGTACAAGCCTCGCAACGACCCAGTTACCTTCTGGCATACACTAGTGACCTGTGCACGCCAGCTCAATGTGTTATCGATATGTAAGCCAAGATCCTTCACATCTTCACTAAACGGGATTGCCACATTATTGTACGAGACAGGCTGCAGCGATGCGACACTGACTGTTTTCCAGGTACGTGTGCTTCCAATGATTATGGCTTGACATTTATTTGGATTTACTTCTATGCCGAACCTTTGTGACCAGTTGTAGATAGCAGCCAAATCCCCATTTACTGCCGTGATAGCACTAGGTAAGTCATCCACTGCAGCCTGACAGTACAACTGCAAGTCGTCCGCATACAGATGATACGCACACCGAAGTTCAGAAGTAATGAAATTAATAAAGATTGAAAATAAGAGAGGAGAGAGAATGCCGCCTTGAGGGACACCAGCCAGCAGATCACACCAACTTGAAGAATTATCGTCAAGCCGGATCGACTGCTGACGCCCCCGAAGATAGGAAGAGAACCAGTCCAGTGTTTTGTCAGAGATTGCAAGATGGGACAGGATGGCCAAAAGGAGATCGTGACTGACCATATTAAAAGCGTTTGAAAAGTCAACTAAGACTAAAACAGTTACTTTGGTGTCCTCAATCCCTGCCCTAATATCGCCAGTCACTTTAAGGAGGGAGGAGACAGTGCTGTGTCCAGGTCGAAAACCTGATTGGAGAGGGCTTATTAAACTGTTTCCATAAACAAACCGTGACAGCTGCTTATGGACACAAGCTTCAAGCACCTTAGACAGGAAGGGAAGGATTGAGATTGGACGGAAGTGAGTGGGAAGAGATGGATTACTAACCTTAGGTAGTGGACGAACAAAAGCTTACGCCACAAGGACGGGAACACTCCGGAATACAAGGAATAGTTGACAATATGGGTAATTGCTGGAAGGAGATAAACCAGGATGGACATGATCATGTCACGGGAGATGGAGTCACAGCCAACAGCTTTGGATTTAATGGAGAGGATTGTCTTACGAATCTCCTCCGACTGGACTGGTATGAAGCGGAAATTTTCGACCCCAGGACGAGGCAGACTAGAAATAGAAGACAAGGTGTTTCGCCTAGTTAGGTGATCCAGAGATGAGACAGTGGAAAAATGATTATTAAGTTCATCTAAGCCAATTGAAGAAGGAAGGTTAGCGGGTTGCGGTTTGCCGATACCTAGAGTTCTCAAGAACTTCCAGATATCAGCTGGAGATGAAGAGGAAATGTTATTGAGAATGTGGCGGCGTTTGGCGTTGCGTACCATCTGATTACATCTATTCCTCGCAGTTTTATATGCCGTCCAGTTCTCCTCTGTCCGATCCCTCTTGTGCTTCCGAAACGCGCGGTCCCTGCGACGCATAGCCGCCTGAATCCCTTTGGTCATCCACGGTGCCGGAGCACGTTTTAATCGGATCATTTTGACAGGCGCATGATGGTCGTAAAGGTTAATGACAGCTTTGTTGAAAATTTCAATCTTGTCATCAACCGTAGTGGCTTCCATTAGTGGTTCCCAGTCTATTCTGGACGCGTCCTCCAAAAGCTTCTCATTGTCCACCTTCCCAAAGCAGCGTCTGTACAGTACCCTGGGTTTTGCCTTGGGTGGTTTCAGGATGTAGGAGAGGTATATAAGGTCATGATGAGAAAATGCCGGAGCGTCATGTTGACCATGACAAGAGACGAGGGACGGATTGGATGTGAGGATTAGATCGAGCCAGGAGTCGTCTGCGACAGTATTGTGGTGAGTGGGTTGGAGTGGTAATATGTGCAGACTAGCTGACTCGACCAGGTGTAGGAGTTTGCGAGATCGAGGGGAGTGGGTAAGGAGGTCAGTGTTAAAGTCACCCATGATTACGAGATGTTCGTACATTGAACCCACGGATTCTAAAACTGATTCGAATTCAGTGAAGTAATCGACAGTTGGAGGGCAATATACAACCCCAATAAGAATTTTGGCCCCCTGGACACAAACCTCCAAGAATATATACTCAGCAGGACAATTTACGGGAGAAAGTTTGAGTAATTTGTAAGGGAAGTCACTGCGAAGATACACTGCCACACCTCCCCCCTCCTAACAATTCGGTCATTCCTAAGCAGAATGTAACCTGTAAGGGGGTAGGTAGTGGATAGGAGTTGCGGCTTGAGCCAGGTTTCAGAAAGCAGAATGGCATGTACATTACTATTGTTAAATGTTTCATAGAAGTCACTGTAATGGCTCGGGAGACTTTGTGCATTTATGTGGCAGACATTGAAAAATTTGTCGGACGAGAGAGAACGATTAATTAAATCACTAAGGGAACCGCCCAAAGAACGGAAACTATCATTAGTCGAAGAGACATCATCGTCAGCAGATATAAAATCGTCAGTATCGCACATATGCTGGAAGTATTACAAGATATATAAATTTTATAAAATATATGTTACTAATAAATATATATATATGTATATTCTATTAAAAAGTACTTAAATAACTATGAGCGCGGAACAAATAAGGCTACAATTAAATTAAACGCCTGCATCCCCACACCACCCGCCAGCTAACAACATCGATGCACATTTAAAAAAGATGGATACGTTGACATCATGAAAATGCGATAGTAAAATGCAATACAACCAGAATAAAAACAAAATTTAGGAGAAAAAGAAATTTAAAGATAATTAAACAAAGTGAACAAAACAAATAATAAAACGAGATTAGAGCAGCATACATTAGTGCAACAATAAAACGAAAATTTATTACATCGCGTCAGTGGGTTGAACTTACTATTGATTGACCATAGAGTGTGTATGACAACAAGCAGACCTGGTACTAAACGTAACGTCAAACGTCAAACTCAAACTTTTGTGATTGTCAATTGTTGTGAATGATCTTTGAGTGTTAAATTAAATAATTAAGTGTACGAATTGTTGAGTGAACATGGTTGTATTCAATTAAGTAATTTTAATAATATTGTGTAGGTAAACAGCAAAACTAATCGAATGTAAAAATGTATATACCTGCGCTTTGTTTACAATACAGGATAGTGGGTTGAAGTGTAATTTTATTACTGTACCACCCACTGACACAAAAGATGATAAAATAAAGGTAAGTTATTATAACAAAATTTCGAATGACTCTCTGTTCGGATTTGTATGCACTGATAGCTCAATATATTAAGTCTAATACCTATATTTTCCCCTTTTGCAGACCATCGCCCGGCGCCTTAGGGTACTTTGACAGAAGTGGCTTCAGCTCGTCCATCGAAGTAATTCGGTGTTTACTTCCGTCAAGAGGTTTGACCACTATGACACCGTCCTGGGTCCAGCACGACTGAACTCCAAAATGCAAACGCGCCTTTCCAAAGACCTCTTGCCGGCGTCTTGTGGGAACTCCTTGACAGAGATGGAAGAACCCTTGAGACCCTTTTTGGCTCTCCACACCGAAGACCTGTCTGCAACTGCCCCGAATCTCACTAATATTGGCCTGTGCCTGTTTCTGTCTTTGATGTACCAAGCCTATGGCAAGCCTTGAGGGACGCTGGTGTAAAGTGTTCCAGAGAAAGCTTGTTCTTCAATATATCTA